ATGGCCATTGAAATGCTCTCCACAGCCCTTGTTACTTTGGACCCTGTCTGCCTGTCCACTGCTTTCCCAAAACACCAGCTCCACATGACCGTGGTGTGTATCAGCACATAACTAAGCAACCGAACAGATACAGAAAACAGTTCTCTTTACAGAGGGAGCCAAATGCTACGATCCCAAAGCTGGCACTGTATTTGGCTACCCACAGGCACTGCACACCGAGGGCAACCTGCCCTTCCAGCTGGCATCACACAAGCCCCAAGAGCCCTCAACAGCCTTCTCAAGCCAACGCTGGCAGCACCACGCGTACGGCGCCCAGGAGCACGCAAAGCTCTCCCGGTCTCACCTAGAAGAGAATGGCTCCTGAGGAACAAACTTCTTTCTAAAAAAGCTGTTCTGAAGAAAGCTGGAGAAGAGATCGTCACAGTAAGAACTGGAGGAGGAGATGTTACGCTTTGCAATCAAACAGTTAGGCACCTACCTACTCAGGAAAGTTTCCTAACCCTCTAAGCCTTAGGGTCCTCTACATCTTCTGCAGCTGGAAAGAAGGCTGCTCTAATCGGGTGTCGTGGGCTTTAACGTGAGAAAGGACACAAGGCACGGGGTCAGGCACATAATTACACTCTGTAACCATGACTACCGCAAGATGCCAGCTCATCAACAACTTATGAGCGATCTAAAACTAGTTGTGGCATATGTCATAGATAACAGGATGATTCTCTGTGGCAGAGAATTTGATCCCCGCCCTCCCACCTCAAACACCATGACTTTTAAGACCTGTGGTAGCCATAGATTTTAAGAGATATGGTGCAGAGAAACAAGCGCAGGCTGTGGCATGAGATAAATCAAAGTCAGAACTGCAGAATCACAGACTTTATTCCCCCTTCCTCTTCCTAAGGATATCCAGAGTTTTATCTGGGTATCATCAGCCTCTCCTCCCCACAACTCACACCCTCCAGGGAAGCTGACCCAGACCCCAGACGGTGGACTTAATGGGCTATGGGAAATCCCACCCCATTGCCGGTGATTGGTTCAAGAATTCAGCCCTCAGCCAATCGGGGCACTTAGTCCCCTGACACAAAGGTCGATTTAATAATGAACCAACGAGATGTGAGGAGAGACTAGCAGCTGTGAGAGTGCGCTGAGATATTGCCTACCACAGGAGCGTCGTGACCAAGGGCCCGGGTCTGCACTTGGAAACTCATCCCCAAGTTTGTGGATCCTGAGTATACTTAGACAGACTGGCTCCAGGAAGCCACTGCACTCCTCTGTCAGCTGATTTTGGCTAAAGGATTCCCCTAAGGCTTGGCTTAGACTGCACAGCAGCATAAGACCCTTTCTCACTCTTCCTTTTACTCCACATGAGAGATCCATCAGTGTCTGACTTCAGCCTGCCCAGCTCCCTGCCTGTTTCCTTTCCCACATGCATTTTCCTCATAAAAGCCCAGCGCCTATAATCCTACCTTGATGTCAGCTCTTGGAGGACCCCGACTGACACAGGGGGTTTGCTGGAGGCTTCTAGGAGGAAAGTCTGATCTTCTGAAGGCCCTGGGAATAATGCTCTTTCTTCCTTAGGATTTCGTGAATGCCATGTGGAGCCTAGAACTGCCTCCAGTCATTTCCCAACAAGAGCTCTCTTTCCCTAGATTCTCCAACATGTCCTTACACTAAGAGGTTTTCAGACCCCTGACTATGCTGGTTGCACCTAGAAATGAGAACAATTATGTGGAGAAAACAGAAACTACAGCAAGAACATATTCTCCCTTGCTCCTCACACTGCAGCGTTACATGGCTTGTGCTTTTGGAGGAACTGTGTATATTTTTCAGGAATTAGGGAGCCACCTTTAGCTGTTTGAAGGACTGACACGTGAAATGCAACTATCAAATGTTCATTCCTTGGCTCTTTGGTGAACGGAACAGCAGAGAACCCAGCCTCCAGAGCCAGACCGAGTTCCAATCCCAACTTTGCCTCTTACAAGCTCTGCGTCCTCGGGAAATTCAGTTAACCTCCCTGGACCTCAGGATCTTCCTCTGTAGACTGAAGACAATTGCGGTGCCTACCTCATAATGTTCTCTGAGTTACCTGTAGCTTATTTAGAACAGTCCTATCACATAGAAAGTGCTAAGTAAGTGTTAAATAATTGTATAGTTTAAAGCAGCTATTACATGCCAACCCCTGGCCATGCTCAGAGAGCAGAACCGCGACAAAGCAATGAGCATGAGGATTGCCTTTGCAGTAACTACTCTTGAGAACAGAACAGCTGCACAAAAAATAAGACCATTGACTTTGGCCAGGGATGAGTCAGGGATGTTAACAAGAGGCTTTCAAAATACCTTTCAACTCTCTAATTCTGATCCTACTTCTGAATCTAAAACCAAGATGTCACATTGTGCGAGATCTGAGGTTCAGCAAACTTTTTCTGTTCAGGGCTGCATACTAACTATTTTAGGCTTTGCAGGCCATGCAGGTGATGGTGCAACTCCTGAACTCTGCACTGGGGTCCAGCACAGCCATGGACAAGGTGTCAATGAATAGGCACGGCTGCGTTCAAATAAAACTTTGTTTACAGACACCAAAATGTAACTTTCATATAATTTTCTTGTCACAAAGTGTTATTCTTCTTTTAATTTTTTGAACCACTTATAAATATAAAAACCATTCTCTGCCCGTGAACTAAGATGGGGCCAATGAGCTGTAATTCCCCGAGCCCCGTGCCAGAAGAAGCAAAGTGCAAGGGAGGGTCGTAACCAAGGATGAATGTCCTCTGGTTGAGAGTTCCACCAACAAGTAAACATCTCAGAAGAACTGAGAACCATTCCGACCGAAATGCCCTGCTCTCATGAATACAGAGTTCCGGGGCGTGAGAAGCAGCAGATGATCTCAGCGAGCTGGGGTTTTGCCACAATCGCAACAATCTCTGTTGAGTTCATTTTCTCTGAATAAGATCTACCCCCTTTGCGGGCTCTCTTTATCACTTGTGGATAATGATTCTTTAATCAGAAGAGAATCCTGGACTCTTGCACGCATTCCCTGATACCACTTGAGGGGGAGCCATTTGGAATATGTTTAATTTTCAACTCACCTCTTCTCTCCTCGGAAATAACTAACCTGAAGGGCAGAACCCATTATAAATTCTACCCAGTTCTCCCCAACTAGCTTTAAAAACAAAGATATTTCAGGAGTTGCTGACATGCTACTCTTTATTATGAAGTCTTAACAGCTACCAGGAGTAGCTGGCCCTGAAGGAGATTTGTGAGTGACCTCAGGTCGCCCACCGACATGGATCAGGAGAGTCCTTCAGAACCCCAGGATTTGGCCTGCAATGAAATTCCGTACTCCCCCGTGTGCCTATCTGCTGTCAATCTCTATGTATTGTCACTAGTATATTCAACATTTTGGCAAAAACAAAGAAACAAACAAAAAACACAACTAAATCCTGCCTTTTACCTAGTTCAGCTGTAAGTGACAGAAAACCCAAAACAACAGTGGTTTAAACTAGACAGAAATGTGTTCTTCTCTGACCTAAATGAAATCAGGAGACATCAGAGGCCTAGGGCTGTCATGGCAGGTTCACAAAGTCCCGAGACGCCAGACTCCCCTGGTTGCCCTCTCTGCCATCATCCCCAGAGTGGAGGTTATCCCCATGGTCCATCTTCCCGCCGACAAACAGGGGAAAGAACAAAGGGGTGGAGAGTTCCAGGGCGCATCATAGTTATCTCTTCAGGAAGGTTCTCAGAAGCTGCCAGATGGTTTTGCTGACATCTCATTGATTAGAATTTAGTCACAAGATCACACCTGGCCACAGGGAGATTGGAAAACCCTGTCTCCCTGCAGACAAAGAAAACATCTTCTGGGGGATAAGCCACATCTGCCACTCTGGGATGCAGGCATTCCACCAGCCTGGGGAGCATTCTCCATGAGCTGCCCCAACGTCCCTTCTTCAGGGAAGCACTTCAGTCAGACCAGAGAGAAACCCTGTGCACCCAGGCCCACGGTCAGCAGATACCACAAGGCAAGGAGGGGCAGCCAGTGCCACCAGAAGGTGCACTTACAAAGGTCAAGCCCTAAGGAGTATGCAACTCATCTGACTGCTGTTTATCACCTTCCCCCCATGAACCCCGGAAGTCTCACCCCACGTGACTTTCTACCCCGAAAACCTCACATTTATCAATCATGGGGGGATGTATTAGGCATATGTTCTGTATTTGAAATAGGGAAATATTTGAAATTTCTTGTAGATAAGCTACGTAAGTCATATAAATAAATATGCATCCTTTGCGCCACTTCCCCAACCTCCAAAATGTCTCTAACATTCTCCTAGGATCTCCTGTTTAGACTAAATGTAATGTACATTCCTTTTCTTACTATATATTTTGGAAGTGTTTTGCACTTAGGGGATAATCAACTTGGGGTTTGAAAAATAAAAAAGAACTATCAGGCCTTGTCATTACTCTGAGTGCCAGGTTCTGTCAAACAGGTGAATCCATGCAGGACATTTGGACGCCATGAATCCACGTTGCTCTGGAGGGTAAGCTGCACCTGCCAGCGAGACAAAGACCTTTGTGATTCAAACGACCTGAAGGCTTCTTTCCAGTGAGTACACGAAGGGGTTAATTCCCTTCTTCCGTTCCTTGGTTTCCTTTCAGCAGTCCCAGTCCCAGAGAGTGTAACACTCACACGGTGTAGACTAGAGAAGTAAGAGCAGATGTCTACACTAGGTGAGCACCAGTCTTTCTCTGCTGTTTTCCTCTAAAATGTCTCCAAAATGGGTCGTATAAGGAATAGTTCTAGATTGCGAGAACCTTGCAGGAGGTTATTGTTACCAGACACCAGAATCATATCTGCAGGTGGTGCCTGATTCAGGGGTCACCTTAGTCTTATCTGGAAATGCTCCCACGTTCTTAAGTCTAATACATAATTAGATAACGTCTGAACCCGCCTCTGTAATGTAGTCTACAAACGTCTGTTGACAAAAGCTAAACCCACATCATAGCAGAAACTATATATTTTTACTACCTTTAGTTTAAGCCAAAACATCTAAAATATACAGACATAATTGCAAAGCAGTTTCGAGACTAATTTCCAATCCTTCTTTTTCAGGAAGCTTGTAATTTTCTTTACCATCTTTACAGTCACTCTATCTAAAAAAAAGAAGGAAAAAAAGGCTGCTCCATTCCACATATACAGCAAAGGTCAAGCTATGCAGGATTCCTTTTGGTTGACTGAACACCCCGGACACACACACACACACACACACACACACACACACACACTCTGTCCTTCTTCAGGGGAAAGGTGCTCAAAGCTCTCAGGCTGGGCTGTTCCTGTCCCCAGAAGCTCTAACCTCTTGAACTTCTCTCCTAAGGGCTGAGTGTCTTCCTTCCCCCGTGCTGGCGGGCCGCCGAGGAAAGCCGTGGTGTCTCTGATAACTTGGCCTTACAACAAAAATCCTAGAGAAGCTGGTGAATAAAAGCATGAGGAGACTTTAATTAATTCACGTTCTCCCACCAGGCACTAGACATATGCGGGCTGCGCTACAGCTAACTCTAAACAACCATGAAATGTCAGAAGAGAGGGGTGGCATCCACGTTCCAGGACGGCATGGTGCGGGAGACAGCATCTGGCTGGGCTTTAGGAACCCTGTGTTCCGTTTTCCCTTCTTCTGCCACTAACACGCTGAGAACTGGCGGCGGGCCCCTGACGATAATGCACATGGCACATACACTTTTCAAAGTACCTTCAAATCCATTGGTCCATTCACTCCTCCACTCGAACTTTGGTTTGCTCCATGTCCACACCCCCCAACGCGTACACCATTCTTATCCACATGTTCCCCCATCTTGCCATCACTCTAAGAGAAGATTATAGTATTTTTAACCACCCTTGGTTCTTTCTGTGTGTTTCTCCAACTTGGGAACATTCATGGCACCCGCCAGCTCTGAAGCTGCTCCCCCCACCCCATGGAAGCACAGTGTAACTACGAATGCAGCCTGTACTCTTAGGTAAACACCCCACCATTCATAAGTGTCTATCTAAAAATGCAGACAAGTTATATTTCTAGCCAAGGCTGACCATAGCTGGAATGATAAATCTTTTGTTGGAAAAAAACAATTCACTTTAATAAAAGTAACTATGGTTTATACAGCACCTCCTATGTGCTACCCACAGTAGTATTAAAAGTTACCGTCTTTAGGGCCAGCCCTGTGGCATAGTGGTTAAGTTCAGCGCATTCTGCTTCAGTGGCCCGGGTTCGTGGCTTTGGTTCCTGGGCATGGACCTACACCACTCCTCAGCCATGCTGTTGTGGCAACCCACATACAAAAGTCAGGAAGATTGGCACAGATGTTAGCTCAGGGCCAATCTTCCTCAGAAAACAATATCCTAACGATGTAGGCCTCATCTTCCATGTTCCACAGGTGAGGCCTTGAGCTTATGTACTTTGCTCTAAGTCACAGATCTGTTTGGATGTGGAGCCAGAATTTGAACCTGGCTCCTGACTCTTCTACACTCCACTGTCTAAGCACGAAATGCTTCCTGTGTTTTATTTTCCACACTATAATTTGATAACATAATTGCCATCTCTTCTTTAAACAGCCACTCTCAGTTCCACGTGAGAAACTGCCTTTAAACTTAAGGTCGTTTAAGGCGAATGCGTCCACTTTGAAATGGGCGTGAAGTGAATCTCTCTCCCCTCTCCGTCTGCGGGGCGGCGGGGCCTGGTCCACACTGGGCGTGTCTTGACAGGAGGTAGGGCGGAAATGGTGGACAGCTGTTCCTTTATGAAGTCTCGAGAAGGGTCAAAGTCTGCCTTGTAGGCTTGAGGCAGAAAGGAGGAAGTTTACCCACTGGCTCCGTGCCGGCTACACAGCCTGCTGCCCCCTCCTCCCACTCCGGTCCCGGTGCTGTCTGTTTCTTGAAGGTTTCAGCTGATCCATCCCTACAGAGACAGTGAGAGTCTTGTGAAAACAGTGTGTGCTTTGGATGCAAACAACCCTGGGTTCCAAACCCACTTCTCTAGAGAGAAGGCTACCCTCGCCTCCTCCGGTCGTTTGGAGGTTAAATGGAATCACATGGGAAGAGCATTGCACATGGTGGACGTCTGAGAGACGCCCATGGCTTGGCCTCCCTCTGTTGATAACTCTGCCTCCTTCCACCTTCCCGATGTACAGGGCGAGCGGGACCCTCTGTGCCTTCCCCTGAGGATGGAAGTCAGCCTCACTCAAGCCTCCGAGGCTTCTGAATCAGCCTCTTGCCCTCCTGCCGCTGCTCGGGGCTGCCCTCCTAGCCTCAGCCCCTTTCATCTCTCCTGTGTTTCTTTATTCGGTTCTCCACAAACCTACGCCTTCAGGAAGCTTTGTATTCTTGCTAACCAGCAGGAAGCCCTAAATTCCTCCACATTTAGTCTGTGTTGCACTTTCCACTGCTTGATTATACATCACAATCTATTGCTTTCCGCTTATCTTTCTCTAAGACAACCCATGCCCCGTGACCTGGTGACACTTGGCACTAAGGACGTAGTAAGTAGAGCCACTTCATGGCCTCCTTTATGTAGATGCTTGTTCCGGGGTTAGACAATGCAGTCAGCCAACTAATTCAGTGTCTAATAAAAATGCATTGGCTGGACTTGAAAATTACCCTGAGTCTGACTTCCCGTGCCTTCAGACTGCCGGGCAGGAGTTTAAGATAACAGCCTTTGGACATGGCCCCTTTTTCCCAGCAGAATTCAGGTGAAATGGCAGAGGGGCGAGGCTAATGCTCAGCCACCTGCCACTTCGTGGCAGCCAGTCTCCAAGATAGTCCCAATGATCCCACCTCATGGTATTCACACCCCTCTATAGTCCCCTCCCACATTGTGTCAGGGTTGGTCTGTGCTGTGCTCTGAATGTTTCTGTCCCCCTAAAATTCATATGCTGAAATCCTATTGCCCAACGCGGTGGTGTTAGGAGATGGGGCCTTTGAGTGGTGCCTAGGTCAGGAGGATGGAGCCCTCATGAATGAGATTAGTGTTCTTATAAAAGAGACCTCACAGAGACTTCTGCCCCTTCCACCATGTGAGGACACAGTGAGGTGTCAGCAATGAACGCAGCAGAGAGCCCTCACGGGAACGTGACCATGCTGGCACCTTGATCTTGGACTCCCCAGCCTCCAGAACTGAGGGAAGCAGGTTTCTGTTGTTGATAAGCCACCCAGTTTGTGGTATTTTGTCATAGCATCCTGAACGGACCAAGATTATGTGTGTAACCAGCAGAACCCAGGAGGAATGGTGGGAGATCACACTGGAGGCTGGAGTATGAGGGCCACTGTGGCCTCTGTCTCCCTTTCCCTTGGGTTGCTTGCTCTGGTGGAAGCAGTGGCCTGTCTCAAGGACACTCAAGCAGCCCAGTGGAGAGGCTCACACTGGGAGGAGATGAGGCCTCCAGCTAACAGGCATGGAGTGTGCCATCTTGGGAGCAGACCCTCCACCCCAGTCGAGCCTTCAGATGACTAAGCCCAGCCGACATCTTGACCACAGCTTCATTGGAGATCCTGAGCCAGAACAGCATAGTGAGGCTGCTCCCAGAGTCCTGACCTGCAGAAACTGGGTGAAAAATAAGTGTTGTCTTAGACGGACATGTTTTAGAGCAAATTTTTATGCAGCAGTAGATAACTAATACAGACTCGGTTCTGACTTGCGTCTGCCTCTCTCCTGCAAAGTGCCACCCCCCGAAATGTACACCTGAGACCCATCTGAGGTGAACCAGCTTTACTTATAATTGAAAACAAATTATATACACTTTAAAATTATTTGACTGTCATTTCATTACCAAATGAACAAAGTCAAACAACCTAACTTTCCTTAACAAGAATATCAGGTTTGACTATATTATAATTGGGAACAAAACATAAAATACATTTGCATTTTTTTCCTAGAGTCGAAGCTTTTAATGGGAGACATTAAAAAAATCTGAAGAAAGCTGCAGCAACTGGTGTTTTGAAAGTCAAATGCCCTTAGCCAATATAAGCCACAATAAAGAAAATAAAACCATAAGTCACCCATAAGGATGCCTTTGTCATCCACAGAGACCGTCTCTCGCAGTGGATCAGTACAGTGTACGTGGTGCACACACAGTCCACTACATTTTATTGAGGATCCTCAACGTGCCAGGCACTGAGCCCAGGAACAGAAAACATGTTCCTCCAGAAATTCAGAATCTAGATGGTCTGGAGATAACCTACCATCGGGTCACAATTTTGCATTGTGCTTTATCCAGGAAACACGCACAGACTATATATCAAATATAAACTACTTTAATAAAAAATATTAATTTATAACTACTTGCTCCATAGAGATACTCAAAGCAGATGTCTGGGAATGGAGCAAATTCCAAGGAATTTTTAAAGTCAGGCATTTCTTATGAGTTAGAGAAACAGGACAGGTCACACTGGCTCCATCATCCACAGGGCACAGGGCAAAATGAAAATGCAAGCCCCGTGTTTGAAAATTAATAAGAATTTCAAGATGACAGCAGAGCATTAAACTAAGCACAGGGCCTGTCTGAGCGCAGGGACTACGAGACGGCACGGGTCCTACAGCCATGAGGCCGCACGATGGCAGGGGGCGTGTTGTCTCTTGTTACAGAGATCTCTCAGGAGTTAAGCACGGAAGCGAAGTGTAGGTGGGACGAGAAGGCATCCACGAATGGGTCATTGAGTGACACAGACAGCCGTTTGTTGAGTTAACAGTAACTAATATTTCTACGGTACTTTACAGTTTACAAAGCACTCCCCCCAGATCTGGTATCTCAATGAATCGAAGCAACAATTCCACGATTTATCAATGTTCTCCCTCTGGTATAGAAGAGGTCAAGTGACTCCTTCAAAGCCACTCAGCCCATTGTGAGGAGGACCCAGAGGCGGGTCAGCAGACCTCAAATCCAATTTCCTTCCACAAAATCAACACAGGCTGTGCTGGGAGTTGTGTGTTACAGAGAGACAGAATTTTATGTGTGCGATCCAGCCGTCCGCTGGTGAGAGCTGGAAGGTGACGGGTGCGGCACTGGGGCTGCCTCGATCGGTTGTTTTCACATCTGTGTCTGAACTTCAGAGCAAACAACACCCCAAACTCCATATCCCTGATCCCTACTCCCCCAGCCCCGACCACCCCACCTCACCCCACCCCACCGGCTCCAGCACTCAGTTCTCCCTGAGTGTCTGGACTGGACAAGTAAAACGCCAGGCAGCCAGGCAGTCTCCCGGCCAGGTTTGCCTCATCCTGAGGCCCAGGCACATGAGCAGACGCCCTGCCGGACTGCGGCACAGTCTTCTTTCATCCAAAGCACGCAGCTTTACCTTTAGGAACAGTTTAAAGGACTCGACAACTACAGACAGCATCCGAACTGACCTCTCATCTCGTCCGAAAAGGTCAATGTCAGCCGGAATGAAATCTGCCAGCATAAATCTTCACTTGAATAAAATAAATTTCATACGCACTCTTCAGCTCATTTCATTTTCTCCACTCTTGCCCTAAAAAGATGAAAATTTGAGTTTTTATGGCAAATTTTAATTATGAGAGATCAAGAAGCAAATGACTAAAACAAAAACCATATTATTCTTTCTTAGTACTACTCTTAAATGGTATTACTTATGAAATACTAGCTTTTAATTGGTAAATATATAAAGTTGATTAAAATACTTCCACAACCCTAATTTATAATTTTTCCTTCTTATTTCACGTTTCCCGGCACAGAAAGTCCACCGTCGAGTGTGAGACGTTTCCGTTGGATTCCAGCTTTCTTGCTGCCTTGCTGTGGCACTGGCCCAAACTGCTAGCTGCTCCCTGTTCAGTTTTCTCAGCTATAAAACCACGAGGACACAGTGTGGGCCCGGCTTCAGGAAGCCTGTTCTGGCTCTTGCAGTGCAGCACTTTGAAAGTACAAAGAATCATTATATTTATGATTACAGCTTGCTGGACGATTTCATTGTGCTATAATTTAGGGAATATATGTTTCAAAATAGTGGTGACACAGAAGTTGTACAGGTTAGGGAATGGGTATTCTGAGATCCAGCAAGAGTTAGAATGTCTTTAAAAATACGGTGAACCTTAAGCGCCAAGATAAAACTCCAATCCGGGGTCCATTCACACTTTACGATAAAAGAGAGAAGACTTTTGGGGATGGTATGTGCTTAGTCTCAACTGCTAAGTCAATATTAACATACGTTAATGTATATGATATATAATGGTACATATTACATAATAAATCTATATAAATACATCATATATAATAACGTGTATTACCACTAACTTTAGTTTTTCTTACTATTATTCTATTTCCTATGTCTCTTCCTTATGGCAGTTGTATGAGGAGTATAAAATATCAGAATTGGGGCTGGCCCCGGGGGCGTAGTGGTTAGGTTCACATGCTTTGCTTCGGCCGCCAGGGGTTTGCAGGGTCAGATCCTGGGTACGGAGATACACACTGCTCATCAAGCCATCAAGCCACGCTGTGGTGGGGTCCCATATGCAAAAGGGCGGGAGACTGGCATGGACAATCTTCCTCAAGCAAAGAAAACCCAAAAAGATAAAAGGGGGCAAGATTTTGGCAACAGATGTTAGGTCAGGGCTAATCTTCTTCACCAAAATAATCAATTGATTAATTAAATTAAATTAAATATCAGAAGCAATTGGGGGGAAGTTTGATGCAAGAATGGAATAGCATGGCAAAAATGCAGGAGAGGATGTGAAGGGACAAGGATGAGAACTCAGAGTGGAGAGAAAGAGAGGCACCTGTTGAAGACCTCCTCCGGTAGCCTGTCCTCTCGGGTTTGGGGCCCTCCTCTGTTCTGCGTGGCTGTTTCTCTTTTTTCCTTGAGCCAAAATCCCGAGAGGGATGTTCCCTAATGTTGAATGAAGGAGTGGTCAAGGTCCACGCCTTTGAATAAGATGCTTTTCTAATGAACGGTGCCACTCCCCGCCAACCCCAGCAACCACACAATATTACCTGTTTGATTGGCTTTTTCTAGGCTCTTTTCTTTTAGACTTCAATTTTTTGAGAGCAGTTTTAGGTCCACAGCAAAATTGAGAGGAAGGTACAGAGATTTCCCATATAGCCCCTGCCCCAACACATGCACAGCCTCCCCCATTATCAACATCCCCCACCAGCCTGGTAAGCTCTTTCTTTTTTCTTTTCACATTTCTCCCTGGCTTGTCCCCAAGCAGCTGCTTCCTCCCAGCTCCTCCTGTGTTTTATTCCCTCCCTATTTCTCTCGTTTGTTTTCCTTGTGCTTCTCCTACACTTTATTTTGTTTATCTTCTGAGCCATCACATCCTCTATTAGCTGAAGTTATTGCTGGGTGTTGGCTCCCATCTAGGCAACATTCGTTTTCTTCTGACTCTACTTTAGGAGAGAATTTCAAGTAATTATTTATGCAGTTTTTCTCCCAAAGGGGTGATTACTCAGATTTGCTCAGGTCCCTGCCTGTCCTTCACTACTGCAGTTTCCTCAGCTGGAGGCCAGCTGCCAGGAAGCTTGCAAGCACATCCTGCTCCTGACCTAAGGACCCTCCCGCTAGCAGCGGTGACTGTCCAGCCTGCCTGGGCCCTCATCCATCTCTGGGCTCTGTTTTTGAAAACTCCTTCCTTGGTCATTAGGCATCGCCAGTTGCAAATTCAAGCCTGAGAGAGAAAAAAAGTACCCTGAACTCCATTCCATCCCAGAACACTAAATATTATCAAGATAAACTCAGCCTTAATCCAATGGTAGTATTGATTGGGGGCTTTTAATTTCATTTGCTACAGATGACTTTTATAAACCTGTGTTCACACCCAAGCTGCTGGAGTGGACCTGGAAGCAATTATAGACGGAAATGTGTGCAGGCAAAGAGGCGTTTGCTCTGACATCCTTCCTCTAAGGATTGTGTTTCAGTAGCTAATATGCGGCCTTGTGGGAATTTCTTCTGCTTCCTCCCCAACTTTTAGAAACACTACTGTCTTGATTTTCAAGCATACACACATCATTTTAAATGCATGAAGGAAATTTCTGTGGCACCTCTTTTTAAATGGCTGCCTTTTGTTCCAAGGGTTTAGAGCACTTAAAAGGTAGGATCCTGTTCTTAAGCTGAAGAAGCGATGCCAGGATCAGGGAAGCTGGGACCTGGAGAGGCGCCAACTTACTTGTTCCACAAGGCGGACTGAGGGGGAAAGTGGGATTAGACACTGGCTGCCGGTTCTTTCACCAACGCCCTGTCCGTGTGCTCCAGGCTCAGGTCCACTAACGATAAATGACAGTGGCTTCTACGGAAGACAGTGGACTTCTTGAGCCAAAGACTCCTAGTATTCCCTCTTGCACTAGCACCCTGAGTGGTGTTTTTACCTCCTAACTTTACCATGATTACGATTAAAAATGCATGTGCTGTTTTGGGGGCTATGGAATAACCTGTCGCAGACCAGCACTTCTGTCCAGCAAAGCAGGCAAGGTCCCATTAAATGCAGAGATCTCTGTTTGGAGGCACTGGAGAGCTGCTGGGGCAGCAGGACCCAAGCCGCTGACACTGGAGTGAGTGGATCCTCAGGGAGGAAGCTGACCAGCAGCTGCCCCCAGGACATTCGCCCATTCTGGGTCGTGGCAGAAGGTGGGCGTCTGGGGACAGAGATACCAGAGAATTTCTGAGAGACATGGGGGGCCTCCATCACATGGTTGGATTTCCCTTCAGGCATTTCCTGAGTTGGGGGTATATGAGGAGTGGAGACTGAAAAAGAGAAGCAGCAAGCCCCGGAAAATCATCTCAGCGTTTTCAGCAGTCTCGCAAGAGGTGTTGAGGACCCGCCGAGGGGAGGGGCAAGGTGAAGACACAGGGCTCCCGGGGGAGGCAAGGATGGACCATTACCCGGCCTCACACCACACCAGAAGTTCAACTGAGATGGATCGAGACCTAAATGCAAAAGGTAAAACAATAAAACTTGTAAAAGAAAACAGAAAAAGATCTTCCTGACCCTTTTTTTTTTCCCACTTGAAAAATGTAATACTCCACTTTGCTTCAAAAACACTTCAGCATTCTGAAAGAAATCAAACCTTTATCTTAGGAGTAAGGATGGAGGTTATCTTTGGGAAGAAGGAGCAGCTTTAACAGTGGGGGGCGGGCAGGAGGGAAAGGAACAGGGCTTCTCGGGCTGTGGGCTTCTCACCCAGGTGTGTCCCTTTGTGACAACTGCCCGAGCCCCAAGCTGGCTATCCCTACACTCTCTGGATGATGTCACACTTCAAGAAAAACAGTTACGGATGATCCGTGACTTACAATCCTCTCCCGTGATGCTGGGCGGCAGCAGCAAGTCGCAGCTCCCACTCAGCCCCACGACCACGAGGATGAACAACCGACACACTTACAACCGTGCCATATCCATCTGACCACTCCGTTTCTTGCTTTCAGTATAATATTCAGTCAATTACATGAGCCATCCAAGACTTTATCATAAAATAGGCTTTGTGTTGGCTGATTCCGCCCGGCTGTAGGCAAATGCACGTGTTCTGAGCATGTTCAAGGTGGGCTCGGCTAAGCTAGGATGTTTGCTGGGTAGGTGTATTCAATGCATTTTCAACCCAGGATATTATCAACTTGTGATGGGTTTATCAGGAGGCAACCCCATTGTAAGTCGAGGAAGATCTGGACATGAAAAGAAAGTCTTAGCTTCCAGAACACACACAAAAATAACAGAAAGTTACAAATGGTGTGTTTAAGGTCAGAAGGCGATGCACTTTCATTGAAGCAGTGGCTATGCACTTTTCTGACAATAAAGAGTTTTACAGTTTGTTTTAAAACTACCATATTTAACTAAAAATAATCAGAGCACTTCTCATGCCAGCCGACGTCCCTTTTCCATACCTAAGAATGTCAGCAGAACGTTCTGTCTCTAGATAGAAAAACAAGACAACCAGAAGCAGCGTCAACGGGTTTGGCCTCATCCCTGAGGCACCTAGAAAACGTGCCAGCTCCCACAGCATCACAGCATCACAGCACAGCGTGGACCACAGGAGGCTCTAGTGTCTCGTTCTTTTTACAAAGTTATAGATTATACAGTGGATAGCTCAGGATTTCCAATCTGTAACACCACCTTACAAATAAATTTTTTAAATTCCAGAAACATTTTAATTGCCCTCTTACATGAATCTCTAAGATCATGGAGTGAGGACAACAAAAGAGTGTCTTTTTATTTTGAAAATATGTGAACATATGAGTGACTTTGATAGCATTTCAGGGTGCTTGCGACACTCATAAAATATAGCACGGAAACCACCCGGGGTTTCTAGAGCATCTCAAGAACTATAATGTGGTCATGTTCCAGCTGTGGAATTAAACTCGGTGAGAGCAACAGACACCATCTCAAATGGGAGATGGGTCACTTGCTGCATTGTCCTCACGGATTCCCATGGAGGCAGGTGCACAGTGTTCTTAGTTACTCCCCTCCCCGTCCTCTTTATCCCTCTCCCATACTCTTCATCTTCCTCCTCCAGCTTTTTCTCTGGGGAATG